AGAGTGTGTTGAATCAGCAAAGATGGAAGTGGATGGAAAAATCTATTACCACTGCAGAGATTGTGGAAAAAATCTTTTTTCTCCTTATACATTCTCTTGGCATATGAGAATTCACACTGGAGAGCGTCCTTTCACCTGTCACTTATGTGGAAAGCAATTTCGAGTGAATCAGGGACTGGCTAGACACTTGAAGGAGACTCACGCCAGGATAAAGAATTTTCCGTGTGACATCTGCAATCAAATGTTCACAACCAAGAGAAATGCTGAGGATCACCGTAGAATTCACACTGGAGAACGACCGTATATTTGTAATGCCTGTGGAAAGACATTTAAGCAGAAGGCTTCATTATTTGTTCATAATAGAACACATAGCGATGTGTTTCCGTTCAAGTGCAATAATTGCGATCATGTATTCAGAACTAGACCAGCGATGATGGTACATGTCACTAAACACACGGGCGAAAAACCCCATTCGTGTGATGTTTGCGGAAGGGCTTTCAGGATTAAATATGAACTCAAGAGACATCGCCTGATTCATTTCGATGAAAAACCATGGGAGTGTGCCGATTGCGGACTTGGATTCAGACAGAAACGTTATTTAATTAATCATAGAAAGAGTCATCAAGACTTTACTGAAGGGAATCAAGAATAAATAAGTACACTATTAAACTACACCGCGGGTGCAATTAAAAATAGATATCAGTGAAATTTAGTTTATAAACTGTATCTGACAACAAATTATTTCATCGGTAAACAGTATATATAAGTCCTTCAAAGAATTTTTCAATAATCGCAACTTGGAAAATGGACTTGGACGTGTTATTAATCAGAATAATCTGATTTCAGGTCATCGAGGAATGAACCTGAAGTTAGATATCGATCCAGGAATCCCCGTAAAAAGAAAAATTCAAAGATCGAATTAATCGAAGTTGAAAAAACGAAAAACAACAAAAAGTTTTTTAAATGCAAAATTTGTGGAAAATTATTATCTACATCGTACAATTACCTAATACATATGAATATTCACACTGGAGAAAGGCCATACAGATGTAATATTTGCGAAAAATCCTTCTCAGCTGCATCTGCACTAAACCGCCACAAACGACTTATTCATTCAAATGAAAAGAACTTCACCTGTGAAATATGTGATAAAAAATTCTCCTGTAAGATTTACCTGGAGGAGCACAAAAAAACTCATCAGGAAAATCGTCTCTACGACTGTCAAGAGTGTGATAAATCATTCAAACAGAAGTCTTCACTCCACTCCCATAGGCGATGTCACAATAAGAATAATCGCTACGAGTGCAAAACATGTTTTAAAACATTTCTAAGATCTTTCGATCTGAAGAACCACAATTTAACGCATACAAGAGAAAAACCTCATGCTTGCAATATTTGTGGCAAAAAATTTCGCACCAGAGGCTGTGTTAGCCGTCATTGCCGCACCCATAACAATGAAAAAATATTTAATTGTGATTATTGTGACGTTAAATTTGCACAGGAAAGATATTTGAAGAGCCACTTAAAAATAATTCATAAATATCCAAAATAGTGTAAACGTGGAGACGCAATTTTGGTAGCGCAACTGGAAAAGAGTAGAATCAAAAATCAACAGTGAAATCAAAAAAATAAACTCTACAAAATTCGAAGGAAGTTCTTTATTTGACAATTTAGCGGTAATGGTGCACTTGCTATCTTTAATAATGCGTCATGAAGAAAATTCTCTAAATACCGTTTTCTTCAACTTTTTATTTCAGATCATCAGTGGTGACAGACGTCAATCTACCGAGAGTCAGGAAAATTTCCAGACTACCCTGCATTCCATCAATTCAGGGAGCATCAGAGTTTAATCAATGCAGTATTACAGAAACAGAACTCTTCAAAGTCACATCAAAAAATGTCCCTTCGCCTCCTAATAAGAGCCCTGTGGAGGATTCAATGAAAAATTCTCCAAGCATGCGAGAAAGCCGAACGATTCTGGAGGATCCTAAGTCAAAGGAGAAAGAGAAACGTGCAAAATTGAAATGCCAGCCGAAAGAAGGGAGTTGTCAAAGTGCTAGCGGGCGTAAGTTACTGACATGTCATGTGTGTGGAAAACAGTTCGGTCAGACTGGTAGTCTTTATTATCATTTGAAACACGTCCATGGTGGGGTCAAGGATCATGCCTGTGACATATGTGGAAGATGCTTCGCGATGAAGACTGCTATGCAGGATCATAGAAGAATTCATACTGGAGAACGCCCTTATGTTTGTCATGCCTGTGGAAAAACTTTCAAGACTAAAGCCGCGTTGTACATTCACTCGAAAATTCACTTGGACCACTTTCCCTACAAATGCTCATACTGCAGCAAACTTTTTAAATT